AAGTATTAAACATGAAAAATACATACATGCCTGCATAATATGAGTATTGTATGTTTGCTTTTTAAAAAAAAGTGAACTTTACTGAGTCTTTAAGATGTTCGCAAAACACGGATGTATTATTGAAAAATACATACGTACGTGTATAATACATTATTAAACGTGAAAGTGCTACAATCTTTATACGTGTAATAATTTTGGAAAAATAAAAAAATCAAAAGGGGACAATAGAGACTCAAGTAATGGCCTAATAGTAATGCATAATGCTTTTAAACAACTCTTATTGGTAAATAAAAAATGGGGGGAAAAAAGATCCCACTATATATATAAAACGTATAGCTGCGCGGCTATACTATTTCTTTTAAAAATTTTAAAAAATCGAGTATAGTCGTGCCTCTTTGGATTTAGCTTTCATTAATAATAATTATATTAATCAAAGACTTGGGCCTCGGGCCTTGAGCCTTGGAGCTCTTGGGCTCTGGAGAAATTTAATTAAGAAACCCAAACAAAAATAAGTAATTTATTTTTTTGACGTCCATTAAACTTCAAGTACTTACTATTTATTAAGTCATTTATGAAATCAATAACATATTTAACTATTCACTAAAGAAATAATAATTAAAACATAGTTACTAATTAAAGTAATTCAAAAAGGGTAAGATATTACTTAATTACATATATTAAATAAAAGAAGTTGGCAAAAAGAAGAAGGAAAGAAACTAATTTTATATTTTCAAAATTAAAACACAAAAAACAAACCCTCTCCTAACGAAAGTTCGTCGGCATGGGTCTATGCGAAAGCAATGTGCTGGATTAGCAGAGTATAGCCGCGCGACTATAAGTTTTTTTTTAAAATTTTAAAAACCGGATATAGCCAATCGACTATATATATATATATAAAAGACTCGTCCGGTGCCTAGGTGCCACATGTCAAAAAAGTAAAGAGGCGTGGCTATACTATTTTTTTTTTAAAAATTAGGAAAAACAAGTATAGCCGCGAGGCTATACTATTTTTAAAAACAATTAGGAAAAACAAGTATAACCGGTTGGCGATACTATTTTTTTTAAAAAAACAAAAGAGGAACGCATGTGAACATGTCAAAGTAAGTATAACCGCTATTTTAAAAAAATAAATTTTAACAAACCGGGTATAGTCGCGCGGCTATACTATATCACCCGGGCAGCGCCTAGGCGCCACGTGTCAAACAAGTAAAGCCAACCGGCTATACTATTTTTTATAAAAAAATTAGGAAAAAGAGTATAGCCGCCCGGCCATACTTTTTTTAAAAATTTCAGAAAAAATCGAGTATAGCCGGACGGCTATACTATTTTTAATTTTATAGTAATTAGCTTTCTTGTTATCAAAGAGCCAATATATACTCCTGGTTTCGTCTGTATATATCTTTCTATAAAGCTTCCTATGTATAGTTGTTTCTCTTACCTTTTGTTAGTGAGAAAAGTATATATGGCTATAACAAGGATAACCCTAAATCCCTTCTTCTACCATACAATAAAAGTTACACTTATGTTTTTTTTTTTAAATACAAGCGATAGTCTAAACAAGAATGGAGAGGGGTTTTTTTTTTTCACACACACTATCAAGATGTCACAAAAAATCGAGTATATCCGCACGGCTATACTATTTTTAATTTTATAGTAATTAGCTTTCTTGTTATCAAAGAGCCAATATATACTCCTGGTTTCGTCTGTATATATCTTTCTATAAAGCTTCCTATGTATAGTTGTTTCTCTTACCTTTTGTTAGTGAGAAAAGTATACATGGCTATAACAAGGATAACCCTAAATCCCTTCTTCTACCATACAATAAAAGTTACACTTATGTTTTTTTTTTTTAAATACAAGCGATAGTCTAAACAAGAATGGAGAGGGGTTTTTTTTTTTCACACACACTATCAAGATGCCATGGGGGTTCGAACATGAGACTAATTTGATATGCAAATCAAACCCCTTTTCCACTTGGCTAGACTCCGATGGCAAATACTGCTTAGTTTATATTGTATTCTTATGATGAATATTTTTGGTTATTTTTGTGGTATGGTAGAAGAAGAAGACCAGAAGCTAAGATGTGGGCACAGAAGTCGAACATGGTCTGGGACATGCATTCGGCCATCAGAATGTGGCAGGCAATGCAAGGAATGGGAGCACGCACACAACGGAGAACGTTTTCATTTTGCATGCAACTGCCATTACGGTTTAAAAAAGTGAAGTTCAAAGTTTGAGATATTATACATATATATATTTGTGTGTGTATATAGCTCGATTATGATACCTAGTTCATAACATTACTGCAATCCTTGCATTCATTAATAAAGTAATTTTTTTTTTTTAAATAATTAATAAAATAAAATTGCAACAAATGAAAAAAGAAAATACCATAAAAGATGTGCATAAGTTAAGTGCAAGTTGGCCATAATATCGAGTACATTGAGTATTTAGACAGTATCACTGGTGTCTGGTATAAAGGAAAAAAGTCGAAAAAGATATTTATAACAAGAAAAAGAAGAAAAAAAAGGTGCAATATACATTTTACCAAGATGGAGATGAATTGCTACTTCTTAGGTGGGTTGGCAGCTCTACCTTGCAGGAAATCTTCTCCATGTGACTAATGAGAGATTATATATATGAATTTGATCAACACCAAGAGGAATGCTTGTTAATTGTGGGATTACCCCAGCCACATGGAAAGACCAAATTAAAAGCAGGGCAAGTGATGCTGGTTCTTCAACACAGATGCAACCATAGTACATTTTTTTTTTTGGGGTGAAAAGACGGGGCCATGCCCAAAAGAAAACACTAAAGTACGGCCCGAGGCCTACAAAGACCACGCAGGTCATCAACAAACGAGGACTTAATACTGTCTGGGGGCACTTAAAAGGAACTGAGACCCAAATCAAGGCAAGAGTCCAAGTTAGCAAGTCTATCAACCACCATATTGCATTCACGATAGACATGAGAAATAGAGCAGCCCCAACATCGTTTGATGTAGTATTCACCATAACGGTACCTTACAACGTTATCTAAATATTTCGTTTGATTAACTTGGGGGCTACTGCCCAAAAAAAAAATATCTTAGCAGACGAGGCCTATTAAGCCCACAATCTCACTTAACGTTATTTTTACAGATTCTCATAAACAAATGTTTTTATTTATTTTTAAAATGGAACATCTCCCCACCTCAACTCTCATCCAAATCCCAATCCCAACAGGGAGAAACAACGGGGATAATAAAATATTGTTATTTATGGTCAATCACTGTATCCTATGCGTGATAAAATTTTCACGTGATAGTCTGTGATTGGTTAAGGATATCAGCAAATTAGTGTTATTCCCGTTTCATACAAATTTTAATACCCAACCGAAAGTGCTTTGAGGTGCCTTGTATGCATAGATTAAAATACTTGGCGATCTCCCGATATATTTGATGACGTGTCTTTCTTTTTTGGTTTTTTATGGTGAAAGATGACGTGTCTTTTTTATCTAAGCATTGAAGTACTTTTAGATTCTTCATCCAAATGTATCGTAATATCCTTGATATATAGTCTCAACAAAATGAAAACGCTTAAAATTACCCATCTACAACAATATCAAAATATAATGCATAAATCTGAATAAGGACATAGGCAACATAGGCAGGTGGTGATGCAAAGATGGCAGGAAGTCACGAGTCATGGCTTTTTTTTTTTTGGTAAATACCACGAGATATCCCCACACTTGAAGGATGGGATTAATTCCTGCCCAAAGTTTGGTTTGCCTTTGGCCATAAAATGCTTCCAAATTGGTTTCAAATCCCTGCTAGTTAGGCACCAAACAGTCCGCCAGCTGGAAGTGGTAGTTTGCCAAAAGTACCACACCTTGTAGTTCATGCTTCTTCTTTTTTGGATAGCTGGGTCTTGCCCATTTTAATTCCCTTTTTGTTTTTCCGTTTAGAAATTAAATAAAATATTTAAGGGGTTTGTGCTAAAATAGCATTTGTTCACAACTTTTATTCTACAATAGCTCCTTCCCCATACAGTGTCTCCTTATTATCCTTATAGTTGCATATTTATTGTCTTTATAATGTCTCTTTAATGCAATGGGGTTATTTTAGAATAAAATTTGTGAAAGGGGCTATTTTGAGCCAATTTCACATAAGAATTAGCTGACGAATGGAGCAAATTTTGGTCACACACCTACAAAACAGAAGTAACAAACAGACTTTGGCATACAGTTTTGTCTTTGCCCAATCAAATTCGGCATTTCACTCACCAGCTGGTAACACAATCATATATAAAGCTTTGAGCTTTCTCATTTCTTTTTGTTCTTTTGTTCCTGCTAGTTAGGCACCAAACAGTCCGCCAGCTGGAAGTGGTAGTTTGCCAAAAGTACCACACCTTGTAGTTCATGCTTCTTCTTTTTTGGATAGCTGGGTCTTGCCCATTTTAATTCCCTTTTTGTTTTTCCGTTTAGAAATTAAATAAAATATTTAAGGGGTTTGTGCTAAAATAGCATTTGTTCACAACTTTTATTCTACAATAGCTCCTTCCCCATACAGTGTCTCTTTATTATCCTTATAGTTCCCTATTTATTGTTTTTATAGTGTCTCTTTAATGCAATCAGGTTATTTTAGAATAAAATTTTGAAAGGGGCTTTTTTGAGCCAATTTCACAATATTAATAAAGTAATTTCACATAAGAATTAGCTGACGAATGGAGCAAATTTTGGTCACACACCTACAAAACAAAAGTAACAAAACAGACTTTGGCACACAATTTTGTCTTTGCCCAATCAAATTCGGCATTTCACTCACCAACTGGTAACACAATCATATATAAAGCTTTGAGCTTTCTCATTTCTTTTTGTTCTTTTGTTAGTGTTTTTTTATTCGGATACTTTGAAGGTAGCCTAGTATTGAAGCTCAATCACACTTTCTCTCTCTCTAGACTCGCAATGGCGGCAGTGGCAGTGAACGGAGCGAAACTCGGTACGGCGTCGCAGGCTTACTTGGAAAGCAGAGCAGTGAGCGACACCAAGGTTCTGATATCAGACCTGTGCCGCCAGTTCTACAATCTTGGATGGGTATCAGGGACTGGTGGTAGCATCACAATCAAAGTTCACGATGACTCTGTTCCTAAGCCCCAACAACTCGTAGTCATGTCTCCCTCTGGTATTTTTCACTCAATCTATACAGCTCCTTTTCTGGGTTTTTTGTTTTTGGTTTCTGGGTATTCATTGTTTTTGCTCCGTTTGTTGTGTGTGTTGCTTGTTATGTGTTTTTGATTTCTGTATAGGTGTTATATTAGCTAAAGTTTATGTTTTGGGTGTTCTTTTTGGTTGTTTGCTTTCTGGGCATTTTTAATTTATGCTGAATGTTGAGTCTTTTTGGCTCTTCTGTGTTGTTAGGTATCTAGAATCTTATTATTGTAATTAGAGTACAGGTGAAATTCTGGGTTTTGTCGTATGAGCTCAATATTGCACATGGTTTGGAATGTTATGTAGGCGTTCAAGCACAGGTGGGCTTTTTTATTAATGAAAATTCATTGTTAGCATACTTTGTTATGTGCTTGTTAATAATTGTTTTCGGATATGCATCATTCAAGCTTAAAGGCGAAATTTTCTTGCCTTATGGAGTTTATTCCCTGCTAAAACAATTGTAATAGCTCACTGTTGGTTTGGTTTTGTAGTCAATGAATGAGTAGTCATGTCTCCCTCTGGTATTTTTCACTCAATCTATACAGCTCCTTTTCTGGGTTTTTTGTTTTTGGTTTCTGGGTATTCATTGTTTTTGCTCCGTTTGTTGTGTGTGTTGCTTGTTATGTGTTTTTGATTTCTGTATAGGTGTTATATTAGCTAAAGTTTGTGTTTTGGGTGTTCTTTTTGGTTGTTTGCTTTCTGGGCATTTTTAATTTATGCTGAATGTTGAGTCTTTTTGGCTCTTCTGTGTTGTTAGGTATCTAGAATCTTATTATTGTAATTAGAGTATAGGTGAAATTCTGGGTTTTGTAGTATGAGCTCAATATTGCATATGGTTTGGAATGTTATGTAGGCGTTCAAGCACAGGTGGACTTTTTTATTAATGAAAATTCATTGTTAGCATACTTTGTTATGTGCTTGTTAATATTTGTTTTCGGATATGCATCATTCAAGCTTAAAGGCGAAATTTTCTTGCCTTACGGCGTTTATTCCCTGCTAAAACAAGTGTAATAGCTCACTGTTGGTTTGGTTTTGTAGTCATTGAATGAGAAGTGAGTTTATCCATTCCTGTATAATATGGTTGCACTGTAGGTACATTCTCGATATGTGTCCTTTTATGGGTTTTCTGGGCTTAATTTTTCATGTGTTTTTTTATGTGGGTAGGCGTTCAGAAGGAGAGAATGCTACCAGAGGACATGTATGTGTTATCTCCAAATGGGTCTATCTTGTGTACTCCATCTCCGAAGCCGTACCCACACAAACCTCCTAAGTGTTCTGATTGTGGTCCACTTTTTATGAAGGTATCAGTTCTTTGTGCTTCTTATAAACACTATACTTACATGGATGGTATAAAGTTAGCTATGACTATTGTCTGATTTTGACAAATCAGTTATCATTCAGATTATTTAAAAACTCTGAAATGGCTAATCTGCTCCATTCTGCAAATTTTTTATTTGGGCCCATATCTGATTATATGGTTAGGACAATAATAAAAGATTCTGAGATTCTTTTGGGTATATGTGCTATAGTAAGTTGGGTATTGGGCGGGGTACTTTTAGCTCATAACTTTTTAGTGGCCATAGCATTTTGTTCCCATATTCAGTTGCCTTATCTATAGTTGCTAAGAACAAGAAGATAATAGATTAAAATTTAAAACCTTAATTTTGAGGGAAGCTAAAGCTGCTAAACTAGGTGGAGGTTGTAGTTCCAAATATTGAACATAGTCAAGGAAATTCGATAATGAACCAAAAAAGAAAGAGCTTCTATACGCTATCTTTTCCTACATTCAATTAGCAACCAAAATAATCACTCATGAAGACTTTGATTGCTTATGACTATTGGATCCCTATCAGAATATAGCCAAGAGGCGATTGATTTCGCGGAGAAAAATCTCAAGGAATCTCAATTACAAGGTACAATGCAGAGTGATTTGGAACTTACATGATTTTGGATGTAAATGGTCATGAAGACTCATCTGGATCATGTCAATTGGGATAGCAGTCTGAAATTTAGTCATTGGCTGAAATTTTAGAGCTTCTTATGTAAAAGAAAAGGCAAAAGAAGTCGTAGTTTAAAGTTAAATGCTGTAGCTGACATGTGACATGTGAACTACTATTACTATTTCACTTTGCCCACACTATTTATTTCACTATTACCACATATAAAAATGTGTTCATTGGGTTATGTTGGTTCCAGTGTTCCATGTTGTATGCTAGTGCTCTTTTTTCTAAGTAATAAGTTTTCTTTTCGTTTGTTAGTTTTGGAGACATGTTGAAACTAATGTTGAGGAACTACTATTTCCTATATCTTTCAGGCCATTTTGCTTCTTGAAGGCAATTCAACAGCTTCATACGTACAATTTTACTAAAACATTGTTTAACCTCATTGTTTAACCTTGTAATGCCAGGCACTGATCCTGTGTCTCTGTGTTTTTTCATTCCATGTTATGACATATCCTATTTGTGGATGTTGGGGTTCATGAATACTCACCATTTGGTAAGGCTGACCTCTCTTTTGAGAAGTTATAGTTGACATATATTCCCATGTTTTCCAGGCATATGAGATGCGTAATGCTGGGGCTGTTATTCATAGTCATGGGATAGAATCTTGTCTTGTGACAATGATCAATCCATTAGCAAAAGAATTCCGAGTAAGTTTTTATTCCTGGTATCCATTAATGAGGATATTAAGTGCTAATAAATACACACAAACACAGGGACCTCGTGTTTTTATTCATTGCTGTCTATATCTTTCTTTTCCCTTTTTTTATGTTCATCTCCCTTTGCGCAAAAAGTTGGATTTGTCTTCATTGTATTGACTCCCCCTTTCAAGATCTTTTGAAAATTAATGAACTTTCTAGCCTCTAATAGAGGTATGTAGAATGAAACTTTGTAGTAATACGATAGGAAATGCAGCCAACAGAAGATATAAAGAAAATTAGCTGTGAGCTAAGATTTGTCTGATGCAACTGTTTCTGCATCTGTTAGCGTAAGGTTTGCATGTGATCTTATTGCTTTCAAACAATTGAAGGAGTTTCTAGATGATGGAATTTCAGCTGCTTATTTCCCACAGATAAAAGTACAATAGACATTCCCTTGGTATATTACGTTAATAATATTATTTGGTTTCTTTCTTATCTCAGAAATGATCTATAAGATCAGAAGTTTTTGAAACAGTATGCTTTTCCTTGAGCAATACTTTGATATCTTTGGGTACGGGCTCCAGAAATTTGGGTAGTTCAATCGTAATTCTAGCTTGAAAATGAAACCGGAGTCAATGTGAGGAGTGGAAACTAGGAATGTCACATAAATTTCTAGTTATATTACAAAATAGAACATCAAGCAGGAGACAATATCAAATTACTAGTAAAATGTTGCATTCATGAATTGTAATATTAGTTAGAAACTTAGGAGAACATGTGCAGAACAATGGCAGTGAAAATCTAAAAGGTATCATGATTTTAAAGTGCCAAGTGATAACTCAGTTAATGTGTTGTGATGGACTGTTTACTTGCTCTCAAAAGCCAGTACATATGTGTACTTTTTTTTTCTTTCGTTGTGGTGAGTCTAGCTCTTCCCCTGTGTAATTATTCCTGCCTACTGTTACTGGTTGTCTCTTTTAATAGTTTGCTTTCTTTTCTTGTGGTATACAAATGTGCAGATTACTCATATGGAGATGATCAAAGGAATCCAAGGGCATGGTTATTATGATGAACTTGTGGTCCCAATAATAGAGAACACTGCCTATGAATATGAGCTGACTGAGTCTCTTGCCAAAGCTGTATGTTCAAGTTTTAAACTTATTTTGGTGTAGTGATCCTATCAACTTTTGATGACATAAACTAATATTATGATGGACTTCATTCCAGTGATATATGGTTGCTTAAGTTCATACATGGCACAATTATGGACTTAATCCCGTTGCACTTCATTTTATTAGTTTTGCTGATGGATTATTTCTTTTTTTTTCTTCTTCAAGTAACTGCTTGATTGCTATGTCAGTATTAAACTTAGGATTTCCTATGTGGATGAGTATTTGCTTTCTTTCATGTTCTATAGATTGAAGCCTACCCAAAAACAACAGCTGTGCTTGTTCGTAATCATGGCATCTATATATGGGGAGACTCATGGATTAGCGCCAAAACTCAGGTGCGTATCTTAGGGAATAATTGTTGATTTTGCAGTATGTGATGCCCACAACTGCTAGTTAGACAGCCAGTGTAAATATTAAAGGTAAAAGAATCACTTGTGCATAAGGGGTTGGGCTTTTTGTGTTCTATATCATACTTGTGTATGCATGCTGGTTACTGAAAGTTGCAAGCTTATGTTAACTGTTCATATGAATTGCATTATAAAGTCGCAACAAGCAGCAATTTTATGAATCTCAATTGCATCTTAAGCTTGGTGATAAAACTAAAGCTACAACAGGCAGTGTCCTCTTCAAGCATGGATAGATTATGCCAAAAGAACAAAAAAGGGAGAATGGGAAAAAAGAAATGGGAAAATTGCAAATACTAAGCTTTCTAGTTTCTACCAATATATATTGATGTCTAAAAGTGTTGATCTAAAACTATGGAGCCTCTTATTCTCATAGTGGCTTAAAGGTTCATTTTAATGCTTTCTATTCAATTCTGATATATATATTTCTTTGTTTCTTTGTTTCTTTGTTTCAGGCTGAATGTTATCACTATCTCTTTGATGCTGCTATCAAACTTAACCAGTTGGGTTTGGACCCATCTACTCCAATCCATGGTCCTATACAAAATGTCAAAGGAGTTTTAGGAAGTGGTATTCACAGAAACATATCTGTGAAGGCTGGGACTGCAGCTTCAGATAATAAATCTGGCCCATCACAAGTGAGTTTAATTGTTTATTTCTCTGGGTTCTTGTCTAATTTCTTTGTTGTTTAGTTTACTTAGAAACCTCACCTTTTCTGCTTCTTTATATGTTTTTGTGTTTGAATGCAGATATTGCCTTTTGGTTGAGAAATTTGATAATTAGCATTTTCACGATTTCTCGTATAAAACTAATGTCTTTTTCCTGTTCTTTATCTATTTTGTGTTTTTCTGTAGCGTTGCATTGTTCTTGACATTGAGGGAACTACTACTCCCATATCGTTTGTGACTGATGTTCTCTTTCCATACGCCCGCAATAATGTTGGGAGGCATTTGTCTGCAACATATGACACCGCAGAAACTCAAGATGACATAAAGTTGTTGTGCTCCCAGGTAATATTTTTGTTCAGGAGTGCTGTTTTGTTGACTGTACACCTGTATATAACCACATTAGTTTGCAGCTGTTAATTCTGGGTCAGTAGTGCACCACATGGTGTGTGAATACACTAGGATGCTGCCACAGTAGGTGATTGAAAATTTCATGGTAGTAGCATTGCTTTAGAATTAAAGTAGTCCCATTGAGTTTGACTTGTGCTATGAATACAATTACTTTTTTCTATAAGAATGAGAATATAATTAATTTTGAAGTGAGAAAACCAAAGTTTTATCTTTCAATCCCTCCTAGAAGTTAAAACTGGAAATCTTTGATTACTCTGGACTCAGGCTAGCAATTTAATGTTTTATTTAAACAGTTAAATTTGTCATGCACATATCGTATTCACAGAAGTAAGCTCGACACTTTGAAATGATAATTGAAAGTTTTGCATCTTTATTATAGGTTCAAGATGACCTGGAAAAAGGTGTTTTTGGTTCTGTTCCCATCCCCTTGGATGATGTAGGGAAAGAGGAGGTTATTGCAGCTTTGGTTGCTAACGTTGAATCGATGATAAAAGCTGATCGGAAGATCACTGCCTTGAAACAGTTGCAAGTAAGCAATTTTTTGTACTTATAAGGAATTTTCTTGCTATGTTGCGTATCATTTGGGATATAACTGACTTCTGGCTATGCAGGGACATATCTGGAGAACTGGATATGAAAAGAATGAATTAGAGGGAGTAGTTTTTGAGGATGTACCAGAAGCTCTTAAGAAATGGCATGATTCTGGCATAAAGGTAATGATCCTATTTTCATTATTCTTTGCATATAAATTGCAATCTCTGAGGATGGTCAAGTTTTAGTCCATGGGCCGCTAATGTTTCCAGTTTCTTTGGTACATATGCTAACTAGACAAATTAGATTAGATTTAATTCCTTGATGAAGTTGATGTTTGATTTCTTGAAGACATACCTTAATTGTTGACATTTTGTGCGGCAGGTGTACATATACTCTAGTGGTAGCAGGTTGGCACAGAGACTTATATTTGGCAACTCAAACTATGGGGACCTAAGAGAATATTTGTCTGGATTTTTCGACACCACAGTGGGGTACATTTAAAACTCAGAATCCTTTTCTTCTTTTAAAAAATATTTTTACTTAACATGAATGTATATCTACTTCCAGCTTCCTTGTTCATTTCAACCTAGCTAAAATCTCTCTCTCTCTCTCTCTCTCTCTCTCTCTCTCTCTCAGGAACAAAAGGGAAAGTAGCAGTTATGCTGAAATTGTACAATCAGTTGGAGTTGATAAGCCATCACAGGTTTTATTTGTGACAGATGTCTTTCAAGAAGCTGTAGCTGCAAAGGAAGCAGGTAATGAGTTGCCCATTTTACCCCCACCCCTCCAGAGAAAATATTAAATGTAATCAGGTGTATAAACCCTCCTATCAACAACCGCGTCATGTGACTAGCACGTGACCACTTATTGTTAGACAATGGTGTATAAACCTGTAGGATTTTCTCCCTTTGTGTATTGGCAATCCACACTAGGAACCTTTCCCCTACCACAGATTGGGCTAGGACCTTCCCTACCACCAGTTTCTGTTATTATTAGTGTCTGGGAAATCGGTACGTGCGTGCAAGAGTTCTGGATAGTGCCTATGCAGACCTTGTCATCCTTAGAATGGGGATATGAGTGTGCTTGCAAAGGGCATGGCATCATACACTATCACGTTAAAAGGTCTAGCAATGGCACTGTTCCAACATTACAATCCTTATGTACTTTAGAAGGATAAATAAATAATTTATTGTTCTGACGATATGAGAACCACCAGAAGATCACTATAATCGAAATATCTTAATGCCCTTTGTTTTGTCATGGAGACCTTTGACAGAAGATTGATAAGCGTAGCTAAACAGTTTTCTATCCTTGCTAGTTCAATAATGCTCCAACATAACAAAAACTGAAAAAGAGAAGGAATGATGAACGCTTGTTATTCAGTTTTTGTGTTGAGATTGATGCTAAGATACTTTTTATATGTTTCAGGATTAGAAGTTATTGTATCCATCCGACCAGGGAATGGACCTCTTCCAGAAAATCATGGGTTCAGGACAATCAATTCTTTCGCGGAAATCTGAATGTGTGCTTTGTAATCATATAACATCAAATATATATTGCCATGAATAAAAACATGAATAAAATATACAACTTTTCCAGGTTGTCAAAAAGTGGTCTTATATAGGGCCTTGACTTGTAGATAAGAGGTTTCAGGCTCGAACCCCTTGACATCTTAGTTGTGTGTGTATGAGAAATTCCTCTCCTCATTAGTTTAGACTATCGCTTGTACTATATATAAAAAAAATATGCATCTCTGTTTTTCTTGGATTTTTATTTTGTTTTGTTTTGTTTTCAGTTTAAATTGCTTGGTAAAAGACTTTACTTTTGTAGCTGTGTGAGCAGTTATAGTCGTATCATATGTAGCTCTAGTTGGGAAAAGACTACTTCTGTGGGTGTCTAAGCAGTTGACCACTCTAATAAAAGTACATAAATCCTTAACTAGGTTTACAATCTGGCATGCACATTTACAGCTACCAACTGGTCCTATAATGAAAGAATTTTATTGAAGTTTCCCCCAACATGGTCCAAATAATCTAGGACGGAATCTTACTTTCATCAGTGTCAGAGATTTTATGGGTTTTTACTTTTTTTAAAAATAATTTGATTTCCTCTTCTTGAGGCTTGTCATGTCCCCAAATTCCCATCACCCCCCTAAGTTCTTTTAATTAAAAAATATATATATATATTGGGGGTAAAACACCCCCCTGAAATATTAAGAAATGCACAAGTTTCCTTGATGAATATCAAGATTTCCAATTTGTAATAAAATCCAAGACTGGTTGAACATCCCAATAAAAGGTGCAAGCCTTGTCAAGCTAAAACTGGTACAAAGAAGACAATCTAGTTTGCATCAAATTGCGAAAAGATCTTGGCGGTTTTTCAGTTCAACGTACCCTATGTCCAGACCAGACCAGACCAGACCAGATAAACACACAATGACAGAATGAGTGTTTAAATAGGAAAAGAAAAAGTCTTCACATTTTCTCTGCAGCTTTGTTAATTCAATTGTACTCTATTTTCTCCTTTCCTTCTCACTGTCATAACAAAAGCCCCACCTTTTGTTTCTTCTTTTTCTTTCTTGCGTCCACACATTGAGAAAGTTGGTTGTTCGCCAAGTCAAAAGAGTCTACATCACAATAAAACTCAAATGAAGAAAAAAAGAGAAGGAATGTTTGGATGAGTTCCTTCTGGTCCGCAAGTCTTTATATCTGAGCACAAGGTAAGCTTGTACAATAATGGAAAACCCTAACTATAAAAAAGTCCAAGACTTTCCTTTTCATGTAGATTGACATTTTGACATGAAAGTTGAGCTCTTCATATCTAAAGTACTACCATGGAACCGTCAAATTTTTAAGTAACAAGAAAAACCCCTCATTTCTCACTCTCGTATGATGTTTTGATATGAACTCTGGATACGTGTAATAATTGTGGAACGTCTTTTGTAGCCTATTATTCACTAGCATGATTGATTAATGAAATGTGTAATTAATAGCTGATATGTATTTTTTTTTTACACAAAGGCGATAGTATTTCTATTAATGATGAGGGATGAAATAAGCACAAAATTAGGTCATGTCATAGAGGATTAGGTGAGTATCTTTACACCAAATGAGCGTTATTGGTCGTCGGCTAACTATGTAGCCTACCATCTCAATCGCAAATGGGAGAAGGAACCTGGCCTTCGATGGAGCATCCCCCATCCCCTTAGGATCATACCCCAAAAATTCCCTATTACAATCCTCAAACAAAACATCTGAAATAAAATCGAAAGTCGGATATATTTGGCTTTTATTGTGTTGATCCATAAATGGCATGGTAAATTCGTTTAAGTCGTGCAAGCAATAGCAAGCTTCTCTTGGAAAAAAAAAAAAAAAAAAGATTTCTCTTTCTTTTATCTTGGTCATTGAATACATCGACCAAGAAGTCCCCAAGTGAAAAAGACTATCAAACTAAAAAGGCAGTGATCCAAAAAATAAAAATAAAATTTGCATCTGACAATTTTTGTACTTTTTCTGTCAACATAACCAATAATATAGGGCTTCATAAATCATGCTTCCCTCTCCCCAAAAGTCTCTCCTGGTAAGGGGAAAAAAAATCAATAATAAGACCAAAGTACCCATGGACCTTGGTCTACATAAGAAGAAGAGGACTAGTGGTAGTAGAAAGTGACTTATTGCCAATATTGCTAATTTCTCAATAAAATAAAATAAAATGACATCATTTTGAATATGTGTTCAATGGCAATTCCACCAGAACATCATATTTATACCATGCTACATTGAAAGTTTAACACCTACAGTAGAATACTATTGCACTAGCTCAACAATTTGCAACAACAGCTGACAGAAGAAGACCATAATGATATTATGAGTAGGTGGAGGTTTCATATATGGCCTTCGTGAATGGGAAATGTGGTCCTCTCTCTCTCTCTCCCTCCTCAATGGGGAGAAATATTTACACGAAACGGGATGCGGTGATGCGTGTGATAATTTTTTCGTGGTAGTCTATGATTAGTCGGGATAACAAAACAGTGTTATTCCAGTTTCATACAAGTTTTTCTGCTTAACGGGGGACCTAAGTAAGAACCCTTCAACAAATTGAATCCCATTCTCAAATGTACTCAACTCAATTAAATTCTTAATCGATCTGGTAAATTATCAGTAAACACTTTCTATATATATATATATATTTTTTTTTCCAAATCAGTAAACACTTTCTCGCTGTTGTTTGATTGTCCACTCCAGCAGCAGCCACACCCTCATCTTTTGAAAAGTCCTCTCTCACCACACCCACACAACACACACGCACACATTCATAACATTAAAACAAAAACTTAAAAAGAAAAGGAAAAAGAAAATGCATTTCTCTTGGAGGAAATATCAAACTGATATGCAAGTTGGTAAAATGATAGTCATATTCCCATTCATATGTGCACCCAGATTCCATGGAAATTTGATTTTCAAACTTCCATTGGTGCTATAGAAAATAACTAATAAAAAAGGAAAAGAAAAATAGACATAAAAATGCTAAATTAAAAAAGAATAAGATGAAGGAGGAGGTTAAACAAAGCTGCTGCCTTTTACCATTTTATGGAAGAGATATCAAATTGTACAATTGAAACAAAGATCTGTACCTGTCATTGAAAATCATCCAAAACCCATTAATCTTCTGATGATCCTTGTAATCAAAATCACTCACAGTAATAATACTACACATCTCTCTCTCTCTCTTCCTCATGATCAAGAAGAAGACCCAGAAACTCTAGGCGAAGTGACTGGAAACAAAGGCAAAAGCCTGGGCTCTGGGTCTCTGGGAGTTGTCGTCGTTCTCGGAGATGGGTGCAAGTAAAACCCCTTCTCTGCAATTGCTCTGTCTTCCTCCGATGAAGAATTCCCCAAAGAAGGCGACGAAGAGGACTTGTCAAACGGGTCGTCGTTTAACGGGGTCACTGGGCTGAGAGTGAGGGAGGGGAAGTCGAGCAAGCTCGGGGACAGGATCTCCTGATGACGTGGCGAGAACCCAGATGCTTGATGGGGAAAATTGGGCATCAAGGTGTTGATCATGAGGGTGTTTTTGAGATTGGTGCTCCTCCTTTCATAGAGCTTGAAGCCTTGCTTTTTGGGAGGGGCTGTTTTGATTGGTGGGATGTTGAAGCTTTTGTTGGAGGAGGGCAAAACGGTTGGATCTTGATGGCTGTGAGGATGATGGTGATGATGGGTTGTGGTTGGTTTGGGGGAAGATTGGTGGCTTACAGTTTCAGAGGAGCCTGTGAGCATTTGGACAACGTGTTTGAAGTTTGTGGTGTCTGCTTGGACAAAGGTTGTTGGGTAGGGATTGGGGTCAGATCTGGGAGTTGTGAGCTTTGGGGTTGTGGGGATTTGAACCCCTGAGCTATTGTTGCTGTTGTTGTTGTTGGTGGTGTTGGTGTTGCTGCTGCAGACACTGCCGTTTGTGTTTGTCTTTGTGTTTGTGTTGGTGCCATTGCTTCTGGGGGAGTTTATGGGAGAATATGAATATGGTTGCTTCTCTCTGATTTCGTGAGGCCTTGAGGTGAATTCCATTGGTGGGTTTTTTGTCACCTCTCACCACCACCTCCACAACCACTCTGCCTCTGAAAGAAACAGAGAGAGAGAGAGAGAGAGAGAGAGAGAGGAGAGAGAGAGAGCTTGCTTTATGATGGGTTTTTGCTTTGCAACTTGGAGAGTTGGAATTTGGATGGAAGAGTGAAAAACAAGGCTTTTGGTTTTGGCTTTGAAATGAGAAAAGAAAAGAAAAATAGGGTTGTTGCTTATTAGCAATGTTTTGTTATCTTGTGGTTGTGCCTCTTCTCTTTCTCTCCTCTCTCTCTCCTCTCTCTCTCTCTTTAGTTGGCCTAAAGATGTTTTCCTCTCTCTGCAGTTTTGGGGGACTGACTGACTGACTCTTTGAAATTTTATTTTTCCTCCAATCTAGCTAGTTGTTTTCCCTAACTATATACCTTGGTCCCCCCAAGCTTTGTTGAAATTGTTTTCTTTGCTTTTTTCTTTTTCTTTTTCTTTTTTGTTTTTGTTTTTGTTTTTGTTGTGTTGGGGATAGTGGCGTTGGATTGAAATGGAGGGAGTTGATTGGGCAGAGGGAAAAATGGCCCTACTGTTTTTGGGATTTATAAAGGGGGTGGAAAAGGTGATTGGTTGAAATGGGAATTTGAGGGAGGGCATGAGCATGTGTGTGCCACCAATGGCAAAACCTTTATCCTCATAAACATCTATGCATGTCTCTGAATTTTGTGATGAGATTTCATTTCAATGAGAGAGAGAGAGAGAGAGAGAGAGAGGCATTGACTTCAGAGCCCTGCCCTGCCTGACTGACTGCAGAGAGAGACTCTTGTGTTGTGTTTTGTGTCTTGTTGTGTGTGTGTGCTCAATGACAATGTGATGGGATTGGAGATGATAGAAACATTTTGATCTCACCCATACATGTTACATTACATTCATTGCTTCATCACGCTCCCATCAAACGTTTGTTTCGCACTCTCCTCCTACTTACCCTCAAACCCAAATTTCAGGATACCAAGAAAAAGTCTCATCATCAACTTCAAACTTCGAACTGTCTTTGGATTGACATATAATTTCTCCCTCTAAGACGTACATAAATTTGGAGATAATTAAGAGTAAAATATTTTAAAGAATTGGATTTAGGGAAATTAGGTCTTCCAATGATAAGGCATTTAATAAATAATTTTCTTATTTAGCCATTTGTCATTATAGATACGGAGATCAACGAGGAAGAAGAAGTTCGAATTCGAGACATCGTCAATTTTAATAAAAGAAATATTATCGGGCTTGAAGAAAAAAAAAACACAACTAGGGTTCTTTTTCTTTCTTTCTTTCTTTCTTTATTTTTGTTTGTTTGTTTGGGTTTTCACTTCCGTGTAAAAGGCACAACTTTAAGACTACATGCTCGCAACTTTTTTAGTTACCTGAGCATCTCATTTGTGAAGTTAAAAGTAAGATTCCAAGTTTCCAACTTATAAAAATATCCATAGATTATCTAGTTAATTAATCTTATAGTATGCCATTAACCCAAAGGTTATTAGTATTTTATGTAACTCTTGGTACATGAATCAGTTCGTTTCCACGATAAGGAGTAATGGTTATATTCTAATTTTCTTTATCCAATCCAGGTCTTACTATGTTGTTCCCTACCCACATTAACTTGTGGTTCTTATTTAGGTTTCAGTTAAAATATAGCAAATTAATCAAAGGAAAAAGAATCGAATTCTTCACACCGGGGTCGGGAGGGAAGAGCAACAAAAGTGGAGGGACCGAAAGTCCATTATATACAAATATTCAGCTCCCAAAAATATAATTATAATAATATTCATAATTACAATCATTGTTGTTTTGTTTGGAATGTGGACTAGTAGTAGTCTTTCCTTTTTGCCATTAATCTAACCGTTTAAACATTCAACTTATTAGCTTAACTTGTACGATTTTTTCTTAAGTATATACTAATAAATAAATAATTCAAAGAGTAGGACATGGGAAGGTTCAAGGGTTGTATGTGTCCGAAATTAGATATTCTATAATAAGAGACAAATACATTGAATAGGTACCCAAATTTTTTTAATTAGAGTAAGTTAATTATGGGTTTTAGAATTTTTCCTTTTGTATATGAAAAAGCCATAAAAAATTTCCTTATGTTCCCTTTTTTTAGCACAGACGATAGTCTAAACTACATGGGGTTTTCTCACACACTACTATGATGTCATGAGGGTTAAAACTTGAGACCACCAGTCAGCAAGTCAAGGCCCTTTTTCACTGGGTTAGAACCCCAATTAACTTGAAAGTTCAGGCACAATTTTATTTTATTTTATATTATAAATAAAGAAAATTGGAAGGTTCTTAGTGGCAAAATGATGGAGTTACTTGTCAAGTAGGTCATGAAGGGATGGTTGCCAATGAGCAAGTACCAGCAATGTGGATTGAGTGATCTTTCGCTGTATAACAGGCAGGCACTCAAGTTATTATTGCATGACCATGGTTTTCTTTTTCTTTTTCTTCTTCTTCTTCTTCTTCTTCTTTTTTTAATGCCTTCATTTCATGGACTTTATACATCCCAATGTCAACAGGCTCATCAATGCAAAAGGGAATCTAAGGAAGAAAAGACAAAATAAAAAGAAGCTCATGTTGAAAATAGAAGGGAGATGGACCCCCTCATTACATGGGAGGAAGGGTACATGAACCCTATTCATTTAGATCAGGAGAGGATTTATCCTAAATCAAGAGAAAGATTAGAAGAATAATACTGAATTCATTAAAGAAAAAATACTTAAAGACCAGTAAAGATTTTTGTGTGTGTTTATTTTGCATCAAACAACAACGATATTCATTATAAAAAAACTTCAGCAATCCATCAAGGACGTGTACAAGACATGAATCTCAACACGACTGCAAAAGTTACAACCCGAAAAGAAAAAAACATAAAGACCACTAAAGATTATCCTCTATAATTAGGTATACACATAAAATCTTTTTTTTTTACAAATACCTAATTTTACTTTGGTATACAAGTTAACAGTAGTTGTGAGCTTGCATTTTATTATCTAAGTTTTGTTTTCTTGTCAATTCTTCACAGACGTGCAAATGATTCTCAACCATTGATTACGACGTGATAAGTCTACTGTTAAACTCACATTAATCGACGACTAATAGCGCATTTTGATGACTAATAATCCTAACATTTGGTTTATTGTCTTGACCATACTTAACCTACTTATTCTAATTCACTATAAAAGTTCAACAAGTAGAGCTGTAAAGACTAAAGTAATGGGTTCAAGTGCTAATTAAGAAAGGAACACAAAAGATTAGTTTTCTTGTGGTCCTCCTCCCCACATTTTCACAGCAATAACTTTTCCATGATGTGGATTATGTGCTTAATCTACATTGTTGGAAACCCTAATATCACTATTCTAACTGCAAAGCATATAGGTTTAGAAAAATTTTACACAATAATTAATTCTTAATACATGCTTAGGTCGGCCGGCTAGACCGAGCGCATAAACTATGTGAATATTAGGTGGCATTTTTTTGGTACTTCTTATGCTGTGAAAGGTGACAACTTTTTTATTTATTTATTTATTTATTTATTTTGTTGAGGAATCATATAGGCTTGATTTTGCTGACTTTGCAGGGTCCGCCAACCCAACCTTGGCACACTTGTTACCTCTCACCGTCTCAGCCGGTCCATATTAATGTTAGGCACATGTTTTTTTTTTAATTTTAATAATTTACAAACCGGCCACTATTTTAATCCCAAATTTATTTTTTTTAAACCCTAAAAAACAATTTCAACTTTGCATGAGAGATGAGCCTGTGGGGATCTTGTGAGATGAGAGTGCATGAGACTGAGTTTAGACTGAGAATTTGTCGGCATTGGATTGGTTTGAATTGGAGACGGTCAAAGGGAATTAAATAATAGGTTGTTCTTGTACCATGCTTGATATTTATTTATTTATTTAAGCTTTTTTGTTTTATTTTTTTCCCCCAAAATTTTGACCTTAGCCTGTTGTTTTGCGGAAAATCTTGTTTTTCTACACTTTAATATGAAAATGATGCTTAAGAAATTATTTATCAACCCATCTACGGGGCAATCATCAACTCGAATCTTTTTTAGATATTTATGTAGGGGCGGAGCCACATACAAGCCTGCAGTGGCAGTAGCCCCCCAAGCTTCATGAAAAAGTTAATAACTCTTAAACACCTGTTGCTATATCAGTTGAAATATAAGGCTATAAAACCTTGAAACTACAATAATTGGCCCCTCAAAAACAAGCTACTAGCTCCGTCACTGTATTTATGTATTGTGTCTTCTATTTGCACCGATATTATCTTCAACTTAATTATCTTATAAAGAAAACGTAGTTTAAAAATATATTCTATTTAATATTCTCAATATTGGATGATCATTTATCCAATATATGACAATTGTATTTGATTTCTTCTTGAAAAACAAGCCAAAATTACATAACAAACTTTCTCATATTTTAACTTTAAAAAAAAAAAATCAGGGTCCTTAAAATGATAAATAAATCTATAACATTAACCCTAGATTATTAAGTAATTCATATCTAACTAGTTTCAAGAAACAACCAAAGTATCATATTCTTTTTATATAAAAAATATTTTATTAATATTTCCCACTGTAATTAGCCATTACAACCAAGTGGTGCATCTTTTTTTTTTTTTTTTCTCCAATAACATGGATAAAAGGGTTTAGTGTAGGATTGGCCAAAAGGGTTTTGTGAGAAGGCAAAGCCACCTCCTATTATAGTCTAATAATTTCTTGAAAAAAGAGAGTAAATAAATATAATGAAAATTTAATATCTGATGTTATTATTTATTTTTTGAAGCACCAATATTAATATGACTAATATGAATATTATACTTGTAATTCCTTTTCATAGAATCAAGCGCAAAAGTTCTTTTGATATGTCGCAAAGATAGGTGAGGCAAGTCAACATGTCGACTATAAAAATAGAGAATATAGTAGTACAATTTAAGCAGGACCCAAACAAACCTCTTTCGGCTGGTTGCCTACTTGTTTGAAGTTATTACCAACATCACTAGTAAAAAGAAACTTTTTGTGGATTAATGTCGCTTGTTACGGCATTTGGTTCGATACGTTCAAATAAAGTTTAACGCGTTTGATTATTTTATTTGTAATTTAACAACATAACATAACAGATAATGTGGCAAAATAACATTATTACTGTGTTCTTTTTGACGTACGTAAAAGGACCAAAGATTTAAGAATATGAGTTTGAAAAAGAAAGCCATGGCATAATCAATTTGGTTGATTATAAAGGATGGATGGATACAAACAAGTTAGGCCGCAATGTAGAAACGGGAGAGGAGAATGAAGGGGATAGAAATGTGTTGAAGAAAGCACGTAGAAA